AATACGACGGGGCAAGTTAGCTGACGTAGGTAAATGTTAAACCTGATGATGTTGCCCAAGCCTCGAGTAAAGTCTCCATCTTTAGCTTTCTCGTATGCCTATTGGGCAGTCAGAGGTTTCTGCTGGGGGAGTTTTTGGCGACAAATGTTAAATTTTTCACCCGCACATGGATGAGAATAAAAATCTCGGGGGCCGCTGATGCGTTTGTTCTGAGCATTTCTTGACACACTGGTATATTTCAGCGTCTGTACGGCAACAGAACGACTCAAGACCTGCAAATAAAGCACGGGTTGTTAATTGCTTCTTTCATGAAATAGCAGACGCTCATAATTCAAACTCGCGTTTGATTAATATGTTGCCCGCGGGACGCGATTTCTATCAGAAAATCTACTTCTTTCTTTTCGGGTCCGCGCAACGAGGTAGTTGGTTCCGCGACACATCGTAGCAGACGAACCCTCCGTGGTCTGCTCCCGCTCCTTGCCGGACTCGCCGGAGCGAGGCATGACGGGATTGCATTTTGGCGCACGCCCGATTTTCTCGGTGCAGCGAGTGCATGCACGCGTGTGGTGCTGCCGCTGAAACGAACGCGGAGAGTGCAACCACTCGTGGAGTGCCTGCCGAAACGAACTCGCTTTACGCCGCGAGTGGGCACGCGTGGACACGAGTGCCATGAAACGAGAAAGTCACGGATTACGTTTTGTGGTAGTCACTTTTATGGAAAGGCAATGGTAACTATTGTTAATGTAATTCCTTGCCTTTCTTTTTTAGTAACGTGAAAAAGTCTGGACGAAAACACGCGCGCGTGTTCGTAGCTTTTAGCGAGTTCGTTTCACGGCACTCGTGCCCACGCGTGCCCACTCGCAGCGTGGAACGGGTTCGTTTCGGCCGACACTCCACGAGTGGTTGCACTCTCCGAGTTCGTTTCAGCGCTGACACCCCACGCGTGCATGCACTCGCTGCACCGAGAAAATCGGGAGTGCGCCAAAATGCAATCCCGTCATGCCTCGCTCCGGCGGGGCCGGCGAGGAGCGGGAGCAGACGACGAGGGTTCGTCTGCTACGATGTGTCGCGGAACCGAACGGGAAAAAAAGTAGATTTTCTGATAAAAATCGGGTCCCGCGGGCCACGAAATCAAACGCGAGCTTGAATTGTGAGCGTCTGCTGTTTCCCGAAGAAAGCAATTGACAACCCGTGATTTATTTGCAGGTTTTAAATCGCTCTGTTGCCGTACAAACGCTGAAATATACCAGTGTGTAAAGAAATGCTCAAAACAAACGTAACAGCGGCCCCCGAGATGTCTATCGCCATCCGTGTGCGGGTGAAAAATTTAACATTTGTCGACAAAACTCCCCCAGCAGAAACCTCTGACTACCCAATAAGCATCAGAGAAAGCTAAAGATGGTAACTTTACCCGAGGATTGGGCAACATCATCATGTTTAACATTTACCTACGTCAGATAACTTGCCCCGTCGTATTTTGTTCGAGAAAGCTCTCGTTCTCGACGCCCTCACCAAGGCTAATATCTGATCCACCTATAATGACGATCCAAATCGAAAGTCCCAGTTTTGCTGGATATTCCAACAGGCTAGTTTTAAGCCGTACCCTTTCAGTGGTTCACGCATAATACCATGCTCAAACGGATCAAGCTTCTGCTCGGACAGCATCATCAGTTTTCTTCAGTGTAAACGGTATAAGAATAACCAGCTGCTTTGTAGACAGCTGGTTGCGGAAATTTACGCCGTCTGTAACTACCTCTACGGCAGCCGAGCTGCTTGAAGTCATCGTAACTATAAACTACAGGTTGCAGCGACCAACGTTCGTAGATAAACGTTGGTAGCGACTGCATTCACGCATTCCCACGCATCACTCCGAACAGAAAGGCGCTAGTTTCGGTTTGAAGCCGGCGCCTTTTCTACAACATAGATGGCGGCAGCATCAGTATTCTGCACTCGGTGCATTTGGCGAGTTCGTTTGAGTCCAGTTTTCCGTGCAACACTCTGTGAGTGCCATAAGCGCCAACTACGGGGGGGCAGTGGGGCTCGTGCCCCCCCCGGACGGCTTCACGGGGGGGCAGAGCCCCCCCCCCGGCCCCGGCCCGGGATTTTTTTTAAAGAGCTTGGCTTGGGTCTGCGCCCATCGACAGTGGACTGTTGGCCGTCCTGACTGGCAGCTATTTCACAGGGGCCTGTTTATTCCCGCTTCTTATTTCCTTTCAGGCTTTTAAATGGTGGATCTCGGGACAGTGACAGGTCAGACATTCAGTGGAAAATTCCCCTCAAACGGAGTTAGATGCGCGGAATATGTTGTCTGAATGAACAGCTGAAGTGCCCGCTTCAGCTATGACAGGCTAAAAAAAGTCTTGAAAGCGTCGCGACATCTCTGTCGGTTTTTAGACAACAAAAATGCTGAGAATAGGAAGCATCCCCGACACAGTGAGTCAGTGACTGATTCTGCAGACCTGCTCGCCAAGAAAAAAATTTTAATTTCTTGCGCGTCTACAAATGAATGCCCTTTCGGCCAAGAAAATATTGTACACATTTTTGATTGGTCAGTGAAGGGCTTTACTACCAGTCTTGTCACCGAACAGCGACTCGGATACTCGTCCAGAAAACAACTTTTGGCGGAAAAATTTGTAACCCCAGCTTCGCACAAGGTATAGTGGTATCAAATGGTCTTTGCTACCGTCTGAGAATTATTTTTGGCAGTGTACGATGCAGTGTACGATGAAATGCGCGAGCAGATACGTCGTTAATGCTTGTATGTTTGCTCTATACTTTTTTTTTAATTGTAAGCGTTTTCTAACCGTTGCATTGAGAATTGCTCAACGTGTGCCTCGTGTGTCTGTTCATTATAAATGTACCACACGAAAATAAAAATATTAAAATATTTTGGTTACAGCAGATTCATTTTCTCCTGTTCACCATTTTCAAAATTAACACTTTTGGTGCGCCTGCGTATCCACTCGGGGAGTTTGGTACTATATGGGTATCTCAAAATACACTTTACACACAAAATGGCCTGCAAAATTTAGATCCTTGGTGCAACAAGTAGGAATATTCCTGAAATACGTGTTTTACTGGTCACATTTATGCAACAAAATTTTAGACCCGAACTACCCCTGCAGAAAAAAAAAAGATTCGCTTTTTTGTACTGGTAGTTTAGTCTTGCAATATGTTTGCATAAATGTGGCCAGTAAAACACGTATTCAGAGAAATTTCTACTGGATGCGTCAAACCGCTGAAGTTTCCGGGTCATCCTTTTGCGGAGCGTCTTATTTGGGGACACCAGGTAGTTAGCTGTCACAATGTCCGCGTCCGTTTGTTTATGTCCTTGTCCCTTTTTCTCCAGTCTCGGGTTTACCGAAATGCTCGGTAAAGGCTCCAACTGCTGCAGGTGACCCTTATGGGGAGAACCCACGGAACAAATAAAACAAGGACCTTCTCCTCCTCTCCCCCCCCCCCCCCCCCCCCCCCGCAGCCTCCCCCTCCCCCCTTTTTTTTTTTTTTGAGCCACATTCCGGGTCTGCCCCCCCCCCCCCCGGGAAAATGGAAACTCTACGCCGCTGGTGAGTGCGATGCATTCTGGGAGAGAACTCGAACGGTGCCAGTGCGTGTGAAACGAACTCGCTATTTGACAGCGTTGTATACGAACTATGAAAAGAAGTACAGACGATTTAAAGCAGGGCACCTGACCGCCGCCATGTGTCTGCTCGTGCTGGCAAGTGCGCGCGCATTTACAAGCTTGCCAATGCTTAGTTCACGCGCACGCTGCAAATGCTTGCATGTGCTGATGCCAGTGAAGCACTAGCCATGTATGATGGTTCAACACATGCTGGCTTGACAGCTCCAATTCGCTAGTTTGTAGATCTCAGTACCAAATAAAAACTAACAATAACTTTAATACATTAGCATTTTTGACCAGACCTGGTTTTATCCCAAGTAGCACACTTCCTTGGCCCAAGCTTGCGCCAAACTGGCCCAAGTATAAGCCGGGAAAGTGTGCAGCTGCTAGGGATGTAGTGCTTCGTTTGGAATCTTGCTCACTTGTTATCAGTTCAGCACTAATTTGCTAGAGTATCACCTGCGTTCTGTTCATATAACATTAATGTGAGAGGTCGAATGTCATGTGTCTACTTTCAGCTGCTACCAAGGGTGAAGTACAGGATGTTTGGCTAGAGTAAGTGTTTACCGATATCATACAATATAGGGGAAGTGGGTGTAGCCAACATTGGCTGAAAATGTGAACCAATATTGGTTAATATAGGGGGCATCGACGTAGCCAATATTGGCTAGAAAATCTGTACCGATCGTGGTCAACATTGGGGAAGTTTTCGTAGCCAATACTGGCAAGAAAACATGTGCCAATAGTGGTTAATATTGAGGCAGTTCGTGTAGCCAATATTGGTAAAAAATGTGCCCCAATATTGGTGCACATTTTTACCAATATTGGGAAAGTTGCAGCAAATATTGGCTAGAAAATGTGCACTAATATGGATCAATACTGGATCCACAGTAAATGACAATATGGGCACACAATGTGGCAATATAGTGCCATGTTACACTTTCCCATATTGGCCAACAGTAGGCTCGTTCGATTTAACCACACCTGCTGCACCGGTGCAGGTAAATCGAACGAGCGTATTGTTGACATTGTTTACCGATATGGGACGAATATCGGCGTGCTGCCAGGGTTAGCAGAATGTCACAAGGTACACACTGTAGCCCCATTTGGTGCAGGAATCCCATCGACAATTATAAACATATATACCCCAAACACGACGCGCGATTCTATTCAGTATCCCTTTAAATTCAGTTTTTAGACACAAATAACAGCAATTTTGTTATTCATTTAAGCTTAGACTTGAGCAAATAACAAAAATTCGGTGGCACTGGATGCATTCAAGATGCTCCAGCAGGATAAAAATTTGTGTCCTGCACTTTTTAAAGGGAGCAGCACTTTGGGCATCAAAATGAATTCAATAGATTGTAGCTGAAGCACATCAACAACGAGGCAACACTGTTTTTTGTACAACTCGCTTTTATCACACTTGTCGAATAGGTACATTAACTTTTCCCTACTGAACTCAATCATGGCATAGGCGACACATTGACATGTGACATTCATTCCGAAACGTGCGCGGTAACAACTGAGATAACATGGTAAAAATACTCTCAAAACAATAACAGTACCTGAATTCTGCAGAAGTGACTTGCATAGGGTATGGACGACTAGACTGCACTAAAATTATGGCGCCATTTCGATGACACTGGGGAAAAGAAAACATCGGCTGCACTTTCTAGGAACCTCAAACTGCAGGGCGTGCACCTTTGCGTTGTGCAAAAGTTGAAGATTTGCATGCCATGGTCCCATTATTTGCCAGCGCAGGAAGGGTAGCAACCCTGGCACTGACTGTTTCTATCTTATGGGCACGCTGTTGGACCGTGATGCAATGAAAGTACACATTTGTTCAGACGACGGACCTGTAGAAAGAGTACCCCCTCGGCGCCTGTAGACGAGTAGAGTGGTGCAGTAAGTACATTTTTCCAAGGGGCCTTCAAAAGTGGCTCCCCCTCGAGACGACAGACACTTCTGACACGAGATAGTCGACATCGTCTTGCTGAGCGGCTTTCGTTGACCGAAGAATGGCTCAGCCGGTCCACGACTTCAGCGAGCCACAGCGAACAACCCACCGATCGGCGAGAGGCACAGGTTCTGCCGGTTGGGACTAGGTGACTCTCGGCATCCCGTAGTTAATGATGTAGTAATCGTGGTAGTACATGAGAATTGCCAGAGGTTGGCCGATCATGAGGGACATCCAGACGGCCATGTTCCCCAGGTTGCGGTACCGGTTGCGCAGGCAGTTGTCGATGAAGAAGGCAAAGGGCACCTGGAAGCGAACACATCTGTTTCTGTAGAGCAGGGTCTAACTTATGCATCGCTTAATTCTAAAAAGATGTGGCTGATCAAAGGGCAAATGAGGTATCAATAAAACGAAGCCTATGCAAAAAAAAATCTGCGCAGCAAAGATTCATCATGGATTACGAGTAAGGCTATTGGCAAATAAGCAGGCTGTCGAACCAAATCAAACTATGATTTTTGACCCAGCTGAAACAAATCCAAAATCAAACCTTTGATATTGAACCCAAACCGGAACAGAACCACAATCTCGGGCGGCGGTTACCGGTTCACTAGAAAACAGTTCGGCGTAATCAAATTTAAGTCGTGCCTGATTTTGCGAGTGGCAACATGAGGTCCATTTTAGAATTCGGGGCTGTGGCATCAGTGGTACTGATGCCAATGTTGGCAAAAACACAGCAGCAAAAATAAGAAACTCAATCGGTTGTCAGCGCGCGTTTCTTCTGCTGTGAAACACTTGAAGGCGCCAAGAGGGCTGGACAAGCGACGGGGAGCATGACACAGGCTGCGTGGACATCAATTGGTACAACTACGAATGCTCTTCATTTTTCTCTCCTTACATTTTACAGCTGTAGCTGGCCAAACCCAGCAGGATTTCTAGGCAAAAACCAGAGTGATCGTGGGAAAGAGAGATAAAGCCACTGTGCTACCACTCTCTCCCCCCCCATCACTCCTCACACAACCACATTATCTATGATGTGCTATTGCTCCCCTGCTCTCTGTCCCCCCTCTTGCCACTGCAACTTCGGGGTTCTAAAAAATGCTCCAAAGCGCCCGCAAAAAAGAGCTGTGGGCTTGGGCAGCGCTTGCTCAGCTCTCCCTCTCCCACCCTTCCCAGACATGGCCAGACCACGCAAGATTCAAGTGTGCCGCTCGGAGCAGAATAGACGGAGGTCCGCAGTAGCACGAGCATAGCAAAGGCTGCAGTATCCGACTATCACGCACGAGAGGCAGCGTGTGAGCACTTTTGACACCTCTCCTGAAGCACATTTACACTTACTCTGCAAAAAGCAAAGCTCCGAAAGCAAACAGCCCGGCTATAACAAACACCGTGGGAATCTTAAATCAGTTCGCTATATTTGTTTTTTGCCATACTGTTGAGACCGGTTATAACGAAGTCGATGGAAATCGGAAATCACTTCGCTATTCCCACTTCGTCATACCTGAACTCCATAAAACTAACATGCAAAAAAAAACACCTAACACGGGTCATCACTGGCACATGTTTACCATGCCTGCAGATCCCTGCACGCGCTCTCTGCTCGTTTGAAGAAAAGATCCTGTGAGCTACATACGGACCATGTCGACCACTTCGACGGCCACAGCGGAGGACAGCGGCAGTGGATGGCACTTTTTACGTTTATGCGCACTTCGTCGAGGATGATGCACTTTTGTTTCAAGGAGATTGCCTTAGTCCTCCCGTCAAGGTGCCGGCAGTGCCAGAACTATCATTGAGTGGCGGTGATTTGCCGAATCGGTGCTTGAGCGAAGTTAGACTTTGGCGTAGAGAGCGACCACATCGACCAGTGACATTGACATTAAACACGAAGCCAACAAAGAAGCGCATAGAGCATTGAGCTCGCGCTCAAGAATGCATTTCGTCGCTATAGAGAGCCTCGATTTAAGAGAGGAGACAACTGCTCGATCAAGGTTACATGGTTTATGGGCCGCATTTGCAAAACAAGCAGCAGTTCTGCTGCTTGTTTTGCAATTGCGGCAAAACACTTTTGAGTTGTGTTTTGCAAACACAACTCAAAAGTGTTCACCGTCTGCAAACGTGTCCGCCCCTCCGCCGGTTTCCTCGCCATGCTAGCCACGCGACAAATGCGCCAATCTGCCCAGGAGGCGTCGTTCATTAAACTGCAAATGCTCTCTATGGTTGAAGTTGCTCCCTCTTCTAAATTTAGGCTCTCTCCGTCAACTTTGTCGGTACGTTGTCGCTAGCACTCCAAACGCCCCTATCGGCATGCCACGACGGCTCTCTGCGTGCGATGCGGAAAAGTCGCTTTTCAGATACGGATCGGGGAGCAGACGATGATGCAGAGGCTGCCGCCAGCGGCCTTACTTGCGGCATCATTTGCAACCTCTTCTGGGTGGCTGCTCAGCCATGGCAGCAAAGTGCAGTGGACTGCAACTTGCTAAAATTTCCGAACTTGATAATTTTTTAAGTTATCACAAAACTTATCTTCGTTGTATCCGCAGGAGCCGCTCAACTTCTTTCGCTAAAACAGACACAAATATATTAAAAAGTGCAACAAGAATGGGAAATTATGATCGCTTTGCTGCAGCTGCTATTTCGTTATAACCGACTTCGTTATAACCGGGCTCTACAGTATATGTAAACTTAAATAAAAAATACTAAATCAGCTATTTTAACACGTGATAATAATGCACTCCAAAGTAGCCGTCGATCTGCCAATGTATGCACCACGCAAGAGATGCCTTCACGACCGACCGCCAAATCATGTCAAAGTGTGGGAAAAAGCTTTGTCTGAGTTCGGCCCGTTTAGCCTAGCGAAGTACTCTCGGAGGATATGTGCCCATGTTGCGAGATGGAGGGCCGGAAGACAGAAAAACCCGGAACGGAACCGCCAAAAACCTATAATGCCCCGCAGGACATGTGCACGTCATGCATACCGCGGAGAAGGCGAACTCGCCGAGCAGTGCGAGTTCCTCCCTTGCTCGGACAAAGTGTAGCAGATGCATTAGTTGCGTTATTGGAGCCCAGCTGTTTGTTGTTCTGCTTTGCTTCCAAAAATACACCATAAAATGATTTTTTTAAAATTTAATCTGAGTTTTTTTGGGTTTTTTTGTTATTATATTGGTAAAGTTTTTAAGAGTTTTCATTAAAAGCAGTTTGTCATATTCAATATATCCGTTTTTTTCGCTATTTCCGGGTCTGTTTTAAGTGGGCTGCAGTTCTAAAGCCCGTGGACTAAGTGCACATATCCTACAGCACATCTTTCGATAACAGCTGCTGCTGCCAATTGCAGCACACTTTGTTTTTGGTCGTTAGCTATATTTTATTTCAATAATCTTTCGACTGTCCTGCATTGTCTTTCTTATCTGTATGCTGTATGCTGGCTGATTGACGTTGCTGCAAGTACTGTACTTTGGTGTCTGTGAGTACGACCCCATAATTTGCATAGAGTAGTGTTTGCAACAAAAAGTCATGGCTGCAAAACAAAATTAGCATACCGTATTTGCACAAATATAACGCAAGTTTTTTTTTCGGAATTACCTGCTCCAAAACGCACCTCGCGTAATATTCATAATCGAGTTCAGCCACGAGGCGCACGAGTCTGGATAAAGCCAAAGGAGAAAGCCATCCCTCCGGCTCAATGCACGAGATCGGGTGGGAAAAGAAGTTGGGGTGTGGGAGGGAATTTACTCGCTATTGGGCCATGTGAAGGGGGAATAGAAAACATAAAAAAAACATTTTTATCGCTTTTGTGTTTGTACAACACACTCTGAAAAGCACGCCGCAGAAATGCAGCGCACCATGGGGGAATGTGGGCACTGGCCAATTCAAGCCAAGAAAAGTCAACACAAGCCAAGCCAAGACCAAACACAGAGTTTGCGCAATCGTGCAACACGAAGTTTGTTTATGCGGTGGTACCAGAACAAGAATCAGTGTGATTGTGTATAGGGTTCCACAGTCTTTTCTCTGCTTGCGCATTGTTTAGTTTCTCCTCCAGAGTGGTCTGGTGCTTGTGTGTTGGTGCTTCTGCTTCGTGCCTTGCTTTGCTTCTGGGCTGCCGAGGAGCCCATGCCAAACAAAAAAGAACTACCAGACAAAAAACGCCCTGCTGCTGATTATCTGCGTAGTTGAGAAGCGGATTGCGAACGGAAGGACCTGAGCAGTGAGGACAAGTGCAGTCAAAACATAAACTGATATTTCTTTCATTTCTATTGCCTTTTCACCTCTGCTATGCCCCCGAGTGTGGGAAATCCAGGCGGCCTTGGCTTGCGTTATAATAGTAATAATTTTTTTTTTCTCTTTGAGGGCATCAAAACCTGCTTTCACGTTATATTTGTGATCGGTATTTTTTAGGGGTGTGCAAATACTGGCAATTTTCAAATTTGAATCATATAAAAATATTTGAAAAAAAAAAAAAAAAAAACTTTGAATATTAAATATGTTTTATTATGAATGTACCACTAAGAAATAACAAAAAAATATGTAAATAGTCTTTTTTAATATCTTCAAATCCAAAAATGATGTTAACAAGTTCAAGTAAATGAAACTGCCTGACTATGAAGCATATCACCGATGCAACTGGAAACACAGCTAATGTACCTTGACTAGTAATCAACTGCCAACTCTGTACATGAAAGCAGAGAAAAGGTGCAACTGATAAGTTATGCAAACTGACAGAATTAAAAGAGTGTACAAAACTGCACATGTCTGCTAGCTTGTAAAAATGCAACCTGTGTCGCAAAAACAACTGGTAGCGACCTTTTATTAAGAATATATTTAAAATTGTCTTTGACTAGCCAGCAAAATAGATATCAGCTGCTAATGTAATTATTACAAATTATCACGCAAGAGAATCGCTCCACATGTTCAGTATATACGCGCTTTCTTTTCACGGTAACAACTGCTCCTGCAATACAAATTATAAGGTCACTAGAAAAGTGACTCACAATGCAGCTTGGCCAAACGAAAACCAAAACCTGCTCCTTTGTTGTGAGTTAATACATACGTGTTTGCATGATTCTAATTCACACTTTTTTTTCCCGCCAAAATCTGTGCCCAAAAATACATGCGTGTTACAATTGAAACCAAAAACCAAAACTCACAAGAAAAATGCAATACTCGGTGTAAGGTACCCAGCCCCATCGCCATTGTGACCATTTGTTTACATTTACAAAGGAAAATTGGGGCTCCCTTTCGCATGGCTTATAGGCCCAAAGTCTCAACCCTGTCTCTCAGTGGGTCTGGTGCTGGGATAACGCCGACAAAGTTCAATCAGAGAAAAATTGGCGACTTTTTTTTTCCCCCGAAGGTCATATTGGTGATATCCCACACTGCCTGGTGATAGTTAGGGGGAGAAAATTGGCCTTAGAAGGGTGGGAGGAATCATGTTTTTGTCGTTTTAGATTTAGGCTAGGTGGCGCAAGCTACCGCCCGTTACAAAGGGTATAGGCATTAACATCCATCCATCCATCCATCGCCATTTTGGTATCCGTATCACGTGAATTCTCTCGCGTTTACGGACTCGTGTCTGCTGTTAAGATGAAAAAACAAAAGAACTAGCAGGTTTTATTTGAGCGAATGGCCTTCACTCCAGTGGGAAAAGATAACAACGGAGTAGCACTGCGGGGCCTCCTGTTCCCAGCGACTTGACGAGCTCGCAAAGTGTTGTTTGGAAGACGACCCTCCCAGAGGCGATGGTCGCGCACTCTTACAAGTGTGGGAAACGTGGCACCTAAGACGCCTTAGACGAAAGCAAGAATTACCTATCTGAAGAGCAAACAACCATCGTCGGACTCCGACAAAGGCAACAAGTGCACAGAATTTATTTTTGTGTTGGCGTGCGTTTCATAAAATCTGTTCTATGAGGGGAGTAAGGTATGTGTTCAACCTAGATTAGTTTGCCTGCATGGTAGAATTGACATAAATTTACTTTTTGAATATCTGGGAGATAGATCTGCCTGCATGTCAGATTTGGGTGCACGTTAGAATTGTGCAAACATGGTAGTTCTACATATAACGTAAACGGCAAGGGTTCATAAAAAAATGGCTAAATACCTGCAATAGACCATTTGCTATATTAGCCAAGCATCAAGGAGAATGCAGGGATTGGTGTTCCACACGCCACACACGCACGCCTTCCTCGTATGAATGATTCAAAGTAAATAACCAGAATAAAGCGTTGACGAACGCGTGTGCAAGGTGCCATTTGTTTTAGGTATTTGCTTTAGAAAAGGTACAGCTGCAACGGAAAAAGAGTAGCACAAGTGACCGACGACCGGAGCGGCAAAATCGCGACACGCGGCGCTATTGTTCCCGAGCGCGCCAATAGCGAGAGTGCCAGTCACGTTCCATGTCTCAACGGGGGGGTGGCCGGCAAAAAACAGCCCATCCTAAAGCCCTCATTTTAACAGCTATCTTATCTCTCAATTTTCTGTCGGCCACCCCCGCGTTGAGACATAGAACGTGACTGGCACTCTTGCTATCGGTGCGCTCGGGAACAATAGCGCCACGTGTCACGATTTTGCCGCTCCGGTCGTCGGTCACTTGTGCTACTCTTTTTCCGTTGCAGCTGTACTACTGCCGAGGCCAGCACGTGCAGCACATGGAACACCAATCCCTGCGTTCTCCTTGATGCTTGGCTAATATAGCTATAGGTCTATTTTGCGCGACTAAACACTGCTTTTTTTTTTAATGTTCAGGGCATGTCCCGCACGCAGATTATTCACTGTTTGCTCGAATATTCAGCCATAACTAAATATTTTGAAATTTCCGAAGATTCATATTCGGAAATTTCGATTATTCGCTCCTCCCAACATTTTTGTTTCACTGTCCCACTTTCCGCAGCACGATTTCCGACGACCAGACTTCCGTCTTTTTAAAAGAAAATGACACCAAGTTAAGTAGGAATATGACCTCGAAATTTCAAATTTTTATTAAAACATGCTTTTTAAGAAATGTTATACAGTCACCGACCGATTTCTCGGATGCCGAAATTTCAGACATGCCCGATTCTTCGTATAATTTTACGGAACCGTCGCTCGGCCTATAGAATTAATGTATTGTAACAGCGACTGAAAATCCAGAAAACGCACACCTTGTTGGTAGATTTTTCGGCTTTTTAGCGGCCATCATAATGCCACCACGAAGCAAACAGCTGCCATTTTTTGTTTGTTTCGGATTGGCCTGTAGCCTTGACACCATGTTCTAAAACATGCCCTATGCTAGGAGGCACTGTCCATGCAATACAGAAGTTAGGTGAAGGCTATAATCAGAATCATCAGCTCTCTTTCTAAAAATAGAGGTTGACTTAATTGGCACTTTTGTTTTCTGTTGTTCCCGGAGGAATCATGGTCGTCTAAATGCCCAGGCACTGTTCGCTGCCATTCCGCACGTGCCTTCCTGCTGTCGTCCTTAAAGGCCGACGACCAGACTCGAGATTCTGCAAGGCAGAAGACCCTCCTCTCCACGCCTTCGGGCGAGGGAAGCGAAGGATGGAAAGAAGGGACCAAGAGGGGCGGGCGTGGGTGGAAAGGGTAGGAGGGAGAGGAGGAAGCGGGCGAAAAGTGGAAAGCGCGAACTGGTCGTCGGTCTTTAAGCAATGTCAAGTGGCGTGACTGACTTATTTGATAAGTCTCCATATTGCTTAGTGCAGGAAATGCATGGGTTGCCCCGGTCTAAGGTATAGAGCTATGAACCGGTTTACGCTTAGTGAACCGGTAACCGTACCAATATTTTGCAAGCACAACCGAACCGGGATTGAACGAAATGCAAAACTACCGAACTCTAGCAATAACCTGTTCGGCACCCCGCTAATAAGAAGTCCTGTGAAAATGACACACGGACTTCCAATGCATAAAAGAAAAGGAGCGGCGACGTTGTCCTGGCAGGTAATTTCCGAGGGAAAAGCGGCGACGAGCGGTTTTGTGGTGGCAGACGTAAGAGCCGCCGAGGAGAGCGCCTCACCTGAGCCAGCATGCCGAAGAAGGCCCAGACGCGGAACATCTTGAGGGGCACGCTGACCAGGTACTGTGGCAAGAGCGAGCACATGTGACGAATGCCTCCTTCAATTGGACGTGGCCGCTCACCTCGTGGAAGAAGGCGGACAGGAGGAAGACCATGACGCAGGCCCGGGACCTGGACATGCCCGCAGCCACCAGGGGCTTGTACAGGTGGCGCAGGCACCACTGGTGCACCGGGATGTTCCAGTTCTGCCAGAAGTACTGCACAGTCTCGGCGTTCCTGGGATGCAGAAGCCACACAAATGCACAGCTCAGCGTCCCGTTCTGTTCATGTACCCAAATGACGTCGCAAAATCCGGAGTGCCGCGTGGTTGGTTGGAGCAATCCTGGGGGTCGGCCGTAGAAGTTGCGGCAAAAAGCACGAGCAGACGCGAGTGTCGCTCTCGTGGCAGCGTCCCGACTCCTTGCTGCTGAGTTGGACCTGCAGCTGAACAGGCGCCTCCCACATCCACATTTTTTGACCATGGTAAACACAGCAGTCGAACACCCATCCCATAACATAGCCGACGGCCTCGTCGATTTTATGGACATTCTCTATTGTAGCCATCCCTCGGCTCCAAAAAAAGGTTTCTGGTCCCGTCGCAGGCCGTGATTATAAACTCCATGCGACGCGACCAATGCACCGCCGAGCGGCCGTTACCGAAGGTGGGCTGCGAGTACTCCGGCGAAACCAAACCATGCCGCACACATCAGTATGCATCGAGGTTGGAGCGGTACGAACTGCCATGTTGTTAAGTGCTCCGATAATTATGCGTCATATCTCACAGTGACCGAGTTTTGTAGAGTGGCGACGACGACGACGAAACCACGCAGTACGATGAGAGACGTTTGGTCTCCTGATCGTGTCTGCCGTTTCACGTGCGGTGTTTGCTTTGGTGCTGGTAGTGTCCGCATATTTCTGCACTGATAGGACAAACTCGAATCCCTTACCAAGCTCGCAGTGCCTATTTTGTCGCACGCGTGCCAACCAAAAACGTTTTGTCCCCATTGTATGTGTCGATGATATTTCCAAACCACTATCGTGCCCGGTTTGTACTATCCAAAGAAAAATAGACCATGAAAAATTGACTCCTGCACGAAGCAATCTAAACTCTCTGTGAAAGGTATATTTCACAGGTCCGTTTTTTTCTTGTAAAATTTCAAAACAGAGCTCCCTTTCTGTAAAAAAAAATAGGGCCAAGAAACTTACCAGGGTCCACAGCGGGCGGCGACGCAGGGGACCAAGTCGAGCGGTGGGCGCACTTGACGCACATATTAAAATAGATGGCGTCGGGAGCAGCGTTGGAAGGTGTAGCCAACCAGCGAAAGAAAGCAGATGACACGCGGACGAAATCTGTCAGCAGCAAGAACGGCAACCACACTTTTCTTTTTTTTTTTCTTAACTTCAAGTTTTGTTTTTATTGTCCACATTTATTTTTAAATCCAAAAGTGTCCCACAAAAAGATTATCTTCATTGTAGTAAATCACGGTTGCTGCGAGCAGTCTCGATAAAGAGGTAGCGCCATCTATCAATATGTGAAGCAAACGCGCCCCGCCGCTCGACTCAGTCGTCTGCGTCGCTGCCCGCCAATTACTCTGGTCAGTTTTTTGGCCCAATGTCTTACAAAAAAGGGAGCTACGCTTTGTAATTTTACAAGAAAAAACCGACCTGTGAAATACACCTTTGACAAACAGTTTAGACTGCTTCGTGCAGGCGTATATTTTAGAGCGCAGCTCCTAGGCGCCCGTTTCTGGCTTGAGCGGTGTCACCGTCGCCGTCGGCGTAATTGTGCGGTGCATTATGGGTTAATTTCCCCGCTAAATCTAGCGGAAAAATTTTCCCGCTAAATCTAGCGGAGAAATTTTTTATAGTCCATTTTAGGTCGAGCCTGGTGACCTCACATACCCTATACATTGCAATCCACTTATAACGATATCACATATAACAATGTAGTGCTTATAACAATCAGTTTTTAGAGTTTCTACTCTAAAAACGATCAGATTATACTGTAATTACCCGATTCTAACGCGCACATTTTTTCAAGGAAAATACAGCTAGAAATGCCAGAAGACGAGGAGCTCAGCCCAAGCTGGTGTTTGTCCAAACGGCGAGTCCTCCTTTCATCCCTCCCAGAGAGGACCATTCGGTGCACACCAAGTTGCGTCTCGAAGCAGCAGCCGCAGGGGCGATGACGCACAAGATGGGAAAAGTCCAAGGCGTGCGCCCAGCGAGGGAGCAGTACCCCAACACCAACAGCGACGCCACACACAAAAAACAACAAAAAAAAAACATTCAAAGCAAAAACAAGAAAAACAAACACTGAGGGTTCCGAGGCACCCTCCCCCCACCCACAAAGAAAAAACAATAAAAAAAATGCCGGGAACGCCGATTTCGGATCGCTCCCCCTCCTCTTCCCTTTCCCGGGTTACGGAACGCCGATTTCGGATCGTCCCCCCTCTTCTTCCCTTTCCTGGGCCACACACTCTACGAGGTTCCGATCCCATCGGGTTGCCTCCGGCTACGCGTGTTGTAGCTGTGCCGCGGTGGTCCCAGGAACTCCTGAGATCGTTGGTGCCCGCGAATGCCCCTTTGCGGCCGCTTGACCGGCTCATCCCCTTCCCTGGGGAAAAAGGGTTTCAGTTCGCCGATGTGAACTGTCCCGCGGACGAGATCAGAATTCTGGTCCCTCAGCGTGTATGTCAGTCGAGACTTCTTGGAATCGATGACAAAGGGGCCAACCCACTTGGGGGCCAACGCCGCCGAGAAGAATTTCCTCGCATCGCTCTGCACGTGACTTCGCCGCAGAACGGTGTCGCCCACCTCGAACTGCGCATCGCGGTGCGCTTTGTCATAGGTGTTCTTCTGCTCCGCCCGCGCGCGAGCCCTGTTTCCGCGGGCGGCGTCCAGCGCCCGCGACAGTCGCTCTCTTGTGCGCGTCGCGAAATCCTCGTACGAGGGCACCGCTCTGGCCGCGCTCTGTCGCGGGCGAAGAACCGCATCGGTCGGCGTAGAGAGTTCTCTGCCGAAGTTCAAAAGCGCAGGCGTGAACCCAGTGCTGCGGTTGAGGTTGGACCGCAATGCAAACGAAATCGAATCCAAATGCAGATCCCAGTCCCGCTGCTTTCGAGCATACGCCCCGAGCAGCGGCTTGATGTCGCGGTTCCGCCGCTCGGTCACATTTGCTTGGGGATGGTAACACGAAGTCTTACAATGCTTAATCCCGAGGGCCTGGCAGGTTGCCGCGAAGACTTTCGAGCAAAATATCGAGGCGTTGTCACTCACCAGTCTCTCGGGGAACCCGTAGCGACACCAGACCTCGGACAGCCTGCTCAGGACTCCCTTGGCTGTCACCTTCCGCATTGGAAACATCTCGACGAACCCGGTGAAGTGGCAAGTTACTATCAACACATGTTGATAGCCTTCGCTTGACCGCGGCAGGGGTCCCATCAAGTCGCAGGCCGCGATCTCCCATGGCCGCGTACTCACGATGGGCTCGAGCAGGCCGGGTGGTCTGCCGCCCCTGGGCTTGCGCTCTTGGCACACTGCGCAGCTACGGACATAACGGCACAGCTGCCCCTTCATGCCCGGCCAGGTAGCGAAACGGCGCAGCTTATGCCACGACTTCGGTGCACTGCCATGACCGTCCGCATCGTGGTAGTGACGCAGCGCTGCCACTCTGAGATCGCGGGGAATCACGGTCTTGAACGACTCACTTGAATCGCTCTCTTCCGGGAAGTAGCGCAGCAGGACGCCGTCCCCATCGATCAGGTAAGACTCCAGCTCACCTGCTTCAATGTCTGACTCCTGGGCGGTGGCACTTGGCCCTCTCGGTGTTCCGGAGTGCCGAAGCGTCTTTTCGCCCGTGTGGTCAGGATCCATCTCTTGCCTGAGCCGGTCGAAGATAGCGCGACAAAACAAATCGCTCTGCTGTGCTTCGTACAGTTCCGTTCGGTTGAACGCCGGTCCCAGTGAGGTAATCGCCTCAGCCAGCTGCGCGACGTCGCCACAGTGGGGAGCGGAGCGCGAGGCGGGATTTTCCGTCTCCCGGGGGATGGCCCCGCCTCCATAGTCTGCTGCCTCGCGCGGTGGGGGATCCACGGGTGCGCGGGAGAGCGCGTCGGCCACCACATTTGTCGTGCCCTTCCGGTACCGAATTCGGTACTCGTACTTCTGCAGTGTCAAGGCCCAGCGCGCCAGTCTTCCGGCGGGTTCCTTGATTCGGGAGAGCCACGCGAGGGCCATATGGTCCGTCTCGATCGTGAATTCCGTCCCCTCGACATAATGATCGAACTTCTTAAGAGCAAAAATGATGGCGAGGCATTCGCGCTCACTCACCGTGTAGTTCTTCTCCGCCGGGTTCAGCGCCTGGCTGGCAAATGCCACCGGGCGGATCTCTCCCTCTGTCTCCTGCAGGAGCACCGCGCCGAGTCCCTGGTCGCTGGCGTCCGTCTGGATCGTGAAGGGCCTATTCAGGTCTGGCAGTTTGAGGGATGCTGTACGCGCCAAGGCCTCGGTCAGCTGGAGGAACGCCTCCTCCTGCGGCGCCTCCCAGCTCCAGGGAGCAGCTTTCCTCAGCAACTGCGTGAGGGGTGCCTGCATGGCGGCGCAGTTCGGGATGTAGGCTCGGTAGTATCCTATCATGCCGAGAAAACGGCGCACTCCCCCGACATCGGTAGGGACTGGGAACTCCAAGATCGCCCGCAACTTGTCCGCGTCGGGGGGAACTTTTCCTCTCTCGATCCGGAATCCCAACAAGCTGATCTCAGAAGCTCCAATTTGGGCTTTAGTCGGGTTTAGTGTGAGGCCGGCGATTCGTAGTTTGCGCAACACGTCCTCGAGGTGACGAAGGTGGTCCTCGAAAGTTTCCGAGTACACAATGATGTCGTCCAGGTACGCGAGCGCGTGCTGCCACTTGGCATCTCCGAGCACCCCGTCGATCAACCGCTGAAATGTCATCGGTGCACCTGTTAATCCGAACGGCATCCGAGTGAACTCGAACAAGCCTCGGTGACACACGAATGCAGTTTTGCTTTCGTCGCCCGGGCTCATCTCCACTTGGAGGTAGCCTTTGCTTGCGTCGAGGGTAGTGAAATACTTCGCCTTCCCCAGATTCGAGATGATTTCTTCTATGCTCGGAAATGGATACGCATCTTTTACGGTCACCGCGTTCAAGCGCCGATAATCGACGCAGAGTCTCGATGTTCCGTTCTTCTTGGGCACCAAAACCACCGGGAATCCCCAGGGTCCTGATGACCGGCGAATGATTCCCGACTTCAGGAGCTCATCGACTGCGGCGTCTATCGCTTTTCGCTTCGCCAGGCTCACAGGACGCGGATTGGACTTCCAAGGGCGTGCGTCCCCAGTTTCAATGCGATGTTGCACCTGCTTAGTGCAGCCCGGCTGTTCGGTGAACATTTCGTCAAAGTTGTGCAGCAAAGCCGCCAACCTCTCTCGCTCTGGTCCGGACAGTCCATCGGCATTGGCCAACGGGTGGCCCATTTCGTCGCAGTGCTCGGCGGAGCTCGGAGTTGGGTGACTCATGGGCATGGCGTCGTCGCGGTCGGTTCTTTCCCATTCTGTCGCTTTTCCCAGCGCTGCCGCCATGGCCCCCATGGAGCGCTCTCGGAAACTTGAAAGGGGTGCATGTGCCTCCTCTCGGTACCCGCCACTTGCCACGTCAATGATGATGCCAGTGTGGGCCAGGAAATCCCGTCCCAGAATGATGGGCACTGTCAGCCCGGCCAAATGGACGAACCGCTGTCTCTGCGCGCGTTGATTCCAACGTACCACGAGACGCACTGCTCCCCTCCAAGTCGTCGACCCACAAGCCAACTGGAAAGTGGTCTCCCCATGCCTCACCCGAACGGACTTCTGTTGGAGATGCCTGAGGACCTCGTCCCCAATTAGCGACGCACTAGCCCTCTATCCAGAAGAGCTGCGAACTCCTTTCCCGCCACCGTCAGGGAAATAAATGGGGCCGCGGTGCTTGTCGCTGCTCCGACTCGATACGCCGTCGGCACGCACACGGTCGAAGGGGTGTCGGGGACCCGCTCGTTGGTCTGTTTCGCCGCCGATAACTTTATCGGCGGCCTCCTCCGTTTCCCGGAATCTCCCTTGTGCAGTCGCGCCTATAGTGCCCGATTTCGTGCCACCGAAAGCAGCGGCCTCACCAACCTGGGATAGGATTCTCCCCAGTGGGACGTCCGATGCGCTCACCCCTTTGTGGCAGCGGGTCGGCGGCAGCCTGCTCCTGGGCTGCGGCGATCCGTGGTGCGCCGGTCGAACGGAATTCCGTCGCGTGGACGGCCGCGCTCCCTCCTCGGCGCGATCCTGGCTCCAAGGTGTCATCCGTGAGCCCCCAGGGATTCCCGCTCGGCTCCCCGCTGGCCTCCGCCATTGCGGCCTCCCCCCATCGATACCCACGTGGCACCGGCCCCTGCCACGCGCATCGGGGTTCGAGCGTGTCGATTGGTGCTGGGGGAAGGTGGTACCTGCGCTCCGCCAGTATGTCGGCCTGAACCCTGCGCGCCTCCTGTGCGAGCTCACTCAGACTTCCGAATGGGCGCCCACGCAGATACCGCGAGAAGGTGGGATGCGCCTGCCTCACCACCCGCTCGACCTGCTCCTGGTTCGTAGCATTCGGATCGGCGATCTGCAGGAGTTCCTGCATTGCCCGCAAGTACTCTCCGAGGGGCTCAGCGGGAGCCTGCGTTCTTTCCTCCAGTTCCCTGCGCATTCTTGGCAGGTAGTCTGCCGGCAAGAATTCTTGTCGGAAGAGGGCCGTGAACTCGTCGAGTGTTCCGGCTGACTCGCCCACAAGGCGATGCCACCTGGCTGCTGGGCCTACAAGAGCCACCGGCAGAACTCTGCCTAGCGTCTCCTTCTCTGTCAGGCCGGTAGCCTTCCGATATCGCTGGATTTCCAGCAAGAAGTCGGTCGCGCTCAGAGCTCGATCGCTGTGTCCGCTGTACTTTGGCACCGGAATGCGGATGAGGGTTCTTGGCGGCGGCGTTTGCCTCTGCATGCTCTGTAAGGCCTGAGCGAACGCCGCAACCAACGCCGTGGATTCACGGGACATCTCCGTGCTTTGCGGCATAGACACGACCGGCGCTACCGTCGGCGTGTCCGGACTCGGCGCTGCGGTCATCGCCGCGCCGTTCCGCTCCGCCAGCCCCGTCGATGTAGCGACGTCGGCCAAAAACATTAAATCTGTGAGGGCGAAATTACCCGTGGCCATCTCGAACAGTTGTTTGGACGTACCCTTCCCACTTTCGCAGTGCCGCGGTATAAACTCGCCAACCAGGGGGACCGCCCCGCGTGAACTTCCACGCAGTGTCGTCGACGGACGTTGCGACTGTAATTACGGCTCGCCTGCCCCAACGTTGATGCGCCATTTGTAGGAAATCGCGTACCGCCGCCGATTCGCCATTTCCCACGTGGTCCGTCAACAAACCGAGTCCAGCCTGGTTCTTTCACGGGAGCGGGATTCCGCTCCCCGTTTATTCGTACAATAAAACACAACACTACAAAACACTCAATCTGAACTACAAATACAAGCTACACTACACAATTATTTACAAATGCACGTTCAGGCTAAAGCTAAACACAAAGGAGGCCCTTAGGCCTCGCGTCCCGCGATATCCTAGATCCGGTCGCCACCCACTTGCCTGCCAGTGCCTGCGTCTCGGTCGCGTCCGGAGTTCTTAGAGGCCTCTCGCCCCCTGCCCCACCGAGTATATCTCTCGATGGGCGAGGAGGTTTCTCCTCGCCTGCCACGGGGGCGCCTGCAGCGCCCTCCAGTGGCTGGGAGAGAAAGCGGCGCGTCGGGAGCCGAATTCGAGATCCCGATTGACCCCGCGGCAACACGACCATGTGATCGTGTCGCGGCCAAGATTGGCCGAATGGTTTGATGGGCACCCTCGTGAATTCACGGTGCGCCATAACCTAGCAAGGCTCCCGATTAAAAAACCGCATAAAAGAACCAGGGACGCAGGTACACACGGGGACTGCTGAAATCGGGGTCGCCGCCGCTCGCAACGGCCCGACGGGAAAACTGGCCGCCCCATTAACAGAGACGCCTCCGCTTGTGGCGCTGAACGCAGTCGCTCACGTGGCGCCGCCTAGCCTTGCCGGCTGCCTATACTCGCGAAAACAAGCTCCGCAGGTATTGCTTCTCTGCGGTGCACCGGTGCTCGGAAAGAAGCGCACTCAACGAGGCCGCGAGAACAAAAAAGTATGAATTAAGCGAAAACGCCGTTCGAATTAAGCGGCTTTTAAATACATTAAAAACGTAGCGGGACAACCAAATTTTCAGATCTGTTTGAATTAACCGGAAGTAAGAAATATCCGAGTTTGAATTATCGCGAGCCTACTGTATGACAGCAAATGAAGCTTTCTAAGAAAGAAAAAAAAAGAAACATTCAGCCTTTCCAATCTGGTGAAGAAGAAAGAGCAGCGGAGCTGTAGCTTCTGTTCTCGGCGGTGGCTTTCCAGGCGAGCGATCTCCTCTTCTATCGCAAAAAATCTGAAGCGCCCGACGCAGTGGAATTTTAAGCGATAACGGCCTTGTGTCGGTTGCGGAACCATTCTTGCTGCTGTGCACATTGCCGCCCGTTCCGTTCCCGCGCTTCTTCCTCCGAAAAAATGTTGCCGCCATCTACGAGTGACGGCGGCAAAAAAAGAGTTTTGTGTCAACATTTGTTTGGTACTGAACACAATCCTGGGGAAACTAGCCCTTAACAGCTCTGCTGTAAAAAAAGAAATCAAGCAACATGATTTATGTTGAGGAAAGAGTTTTCAATTAATCTGCATTTTACGATATAATATAAATTTACAGTGAATCTTTCTTTTACACTGTTTTCAGTGATTGGGCGGATTAAAGAATTCATTTCCTGCGCTCAAAAAGACTAGTGAAAAACAAATAACGGACTTGTTTTGATAAAGTGATTTAAATAATACATGCATCTGACATACATTTGATTTAAACTTGGACTATAACAGATTAACTGATGTTTAAAAATTATAATTTCTTAATTTTTTTTTATTGAGACATTACCAGTTTCTTTCATTAATTTTATCGAAAACAATTCTGGCGTTTTGTTTTGCAGGCAGCTGGTGCCTACCAACAACCCCATATGTGAAGAAAGGTGATAACCACATCCAAAAGAAGGCTGGTCAAAAAAAGAAAGCACACAACCTAAACTGCCATACTCAAGCGTCGACTGCCCAGTGAGTCCAAGCATCAATGTAGTTTTCTTTAGATTCACATTCTGACTTCTTGTACCGTCCAAATCTTTCTTCATGAAGTACAGACTGCAGCCACACAGGTCCTGAAAGATCGTCGTCACATACGATGGGAACGTAACGTCTTTGAGGACATCCCTTCAACGAAATGGGCACTGCATACCCGCGAGTGTGGGATGGCATTTCAGTTTGTCCCATTGGCGCTAAAATATGCAGGCCTTTCTGGCACAAAAACAAACAGCGTGTAAAGCCACAGTGTAAGATGTGTCAGCTATGCCGACACATTGGCAGACATGATCGGGAGACGAAATTTCTTGCATCATATGCCACGGATCCACCGTTGTTGCTGCCCCACAAAACAACGGTGAGTTGAAAAACAATAAAATGTTGCCTCCACAAGACATGACGCACAGCTATTGGAGCACTTAACGACGCAGCAGCTCGTGCTGTCGACCCAGTGCAACCGCACCGCTTCGACTTCAATGCGTACCAAAGTATGCGGAGTGGTTTTGTTTCACTGGGGTTCTCACTGCCTACCTTCGGTAACAACCACGCGGCGACGTGCCGTTCGCTTCGCATGAAGTGAATCGCGTAATGCACCGAAAATTGTGGCTTCCAGGAGCTGGAGTCCCAATGGAGGCCAGGGAACTCACCACCAGTCCTTGTAGAACTCTCGGTCGGCAAAGCGCATGAGTTCCGCCAGGGTGTTGAGGGTGGAGTGGAAGAACCAGTAGAACATCAGCAGCCAGATCAGGATGTTGGGCACCTGCGGGCAACAACGGGGCAGCCCCACATACAAGATCAGCCGAGCCAGTTATTCTTTCTTTTGTTGTTGTTGCTGGGCGCAGCAATGGACCTTTTTCCAGTAAGCTTCTGCGCATGCGTACACTCCCGCTGTCGCCATTTTCGCAGGACACCGGGACGCGGTGCCCTGCGAGAATGGCGACCGCAACATTATCTTCGCGCGTATTTAGTCTATTTTTACGCTTTGTTTTTAGTATCGGTAGTAGGGGATATAAAGCACTGAAAACCGATACAACGGCACGATGCCAACGTGTTTTGACGGGCGGAGGCGTGTTGGGCTGCTCTTCTATTATAGTTCGCAGACAACTCCCCAGACGGCGCTCGTTACTTGAAAAAGGTCCATTGTGTACGGACGAGCAGGCAGTTAGGTTGCTCATGTGTTCTAGTCTGTTTTATGAGCAGGCGACAAAAAATTACAAAGACACGTTAGAACTTTGCATAGACCCCGTCTGCGTTCAACGCAAAACCAACAACGCAAAGATTAATGACTACACAAACATGAAGAGGTTGCAACAGTATTGAAAAAGCGAAGAGGTTATTTGCTACTTGTGGGAACATGTAAACGAGCGAGTAGGTGAAAGTCACGTGTGAACGAGAGTGAAAAAGCGAAGAAACTCTTTGCGATTTGTGGCCCCCGTTGCGTGTCCTATGTATGCCGCTAAATAGGGGAAACGAAAAGACGGGTCAGGAAAGTGGTTCTACAATTTTAAAGATAAAAGAATACGCAGCTTGGATTTTTATTTTTTTATACCCTTTCTCTCAACACAAGCGAAAAAAAAAATGTACTGCCTTTCCCCAAATTACTGTGATTCTGCCGCTTATATCGCTGAGGAAAAAACAAATTTGTTCCCGATCCGCGGCCACGTGTGGCGCTCATTAAAAGCCCCAGTCACAGGGAGTACGCAAGTTTTCGTGATGCCATCTGTCAGTGGTGAACAAAACTACACTTTTCCCTGCTATCCTCCCTGTGTTTCCCACGGTGAAGCGTCTTTTGTTTCAATTGCTCACTCCGACTTCCAACGATGGTAGGCGGGTGCGGTGCTCTACTGTAGCCGAATCGGCCCTTGAAAAGCCTACGATTGCAAAAGAACGGCTGGGGAAGCCTCAGGTAGAACAGAACACGGTACTCCCAGTGACAACCCTGGACACATACAGGGCGTCACAAAAGAAAATTTACACTGTCTTTTTTACCGCAAAAATAAACTAGGCATCTCTGAACGCTCATTCTCCGCCCAAAGGTAGCGCTAGAGGTCACAACCAGATGCCAAAGTTTCAGCCCGATCCGATACCTTAACCCAAAGTTATAAGTGATTTTCTGAAAATTTCAATGGGAAAATGGCGGCCGACGGAGTTTTCGTATACATGGGGCTCTATGGCACCCGAAACCGAAAATGGCCAAAAATGGGCTCCATTTTCCCATTGAGATTTTCAGAGAATCACTCATAACTTTTGAATAAGGTATCGGATCGGGCTGAAACTTTGGCACCTGGTTGTGACCTCTAGCGCTACCTTTGGGCGGAGAATGAGTGTTCGGCGATGCCTAGTTTATTTTTGCAATGAAAAAGATTGTGTAAATTTTCTTTTGTGACACCCTTTATATCCAAACACTTTGCAAGTTGAAGGGGAAGCCAGCCTTTCATTTGTTTTCCTGTCTTAATAAAAACTAACACATGCAATAAAAATTTTTTTTCTTCTATTCTTTATTTTATAAGTGATATTAAACAACTCCCAGAATTAATTGGCCAGTCTGTAAATCACTGCAGTGCCCTTTTCAATAATAAAAATGCATAAAAAATCGAAGAGAAAACAAAAAGCACGAAGAGATTTGGAAGAAATTAAACTCTTGTAAGTTCCACAACCGGCAAAGGACCGATTAAACCCCAGTCTTCATCACCATCATAAAACATTGCTCTCCAACCTTTCGGCATCTTAAAGGGGGTGTGAAATGTTTCTCCGAAATTTTGAGCTACCTATACGTCTAATTGGAACCCTTGTCATTTATTATACAACTCACATTTATTCGTTTGATTGTCCTAACTCATTTACTAGCACTAAAAAAATCATCTTGGTTTCCCGGGGAGGTTCCGTCTCGGTTTTACAAATGTGTCAAGACAGGTAACCAATCGGGAAGTTTTGTTGTTTGCGCAAGATGGCAATGTAGACCGGACGTGATGGGCGGAGGTTCAGATACCACTCCAACAGCGGCCCCATAATTACGTCGGGCACTCAAGTCAACAGATGACATCTGACGTCAGATGTTAGGGTGAGATACTTGTAAGATGGCCTGTTACACCACGGTCGGCTTTTAGGTTCCGAGGCGTACACTGACACCGCATGTTGTTAGGGCTACCATGTGTCGTGCTACATAGGAGAGTTTAAGAAGGAACCGCCGTCAACTTCGATCGGTCAAGCCGTGTCCGTATAGGATTGTCAAATGACGAGACTCGGCGACCAAAAATTGCTGATCCGTTTGCAGAAAAAAAACAAAAACAGGAAGGCTGGAAATATAAGCGAAATAAAAAGCCTTTGAGTACTTGAGAAGTGGCAAGTCAAGTTTTTACTGAGAGGGATTGTGGTAAAAAAAAAATGGAAATCTCACAATCATAAACGCAGTCATGGCAAAACCACACGAGGAAAAGTCGTAAACTATGCAACGTCTTAAGACTACACACGCGAAAACAAGCAGCCCAAGACGGATGCACCGGTAGTGGAGAGCTCACGCCTGCGCGTCTGCCCTTGTAGCTGATTTAGCCAAGTCCTCTTGGAATTACGTATTATAATTTTTTATTGCTTCACTTTATGTTTTATTATTATATAACTCTACTCTGCAATGAGGTTACACAACCGCATTCCACAACGTGTGCGAGCCGCGGCGGGACGGGCAGCATGGTTACGACGGTCACCAAACGACAGGAAACCTAAATCTGTTTGAAACTGAAACTGTATCCCAAAAGCGCGACGTAGTGGTGTCCAACTAACACAACAAAGCCAATAAATATTGTTTTTATCGCTCCCAATTTGTTATTGCAGTGCCTAGAGTGCTGTCCGACGATGTCCTTGAGGAACGATGAAATACCGTCCGGCGGTCCTTTGTGCCCACATTCGAGTGTCGCCCTACGGTGCTCCTACCGAAGAAATGCCGTCTTTTAGCGAAGGATGTCTTCATAATGAAAAACCTAGAGACAAAGCACAGAGAGGACAAGGTCAACACAGTGTTGTCTTCTCTGTTCCTTGTCTCTAGGTTTTTCATTAGGAATAAGCACCAGCTCGCCTGCATTTTTACTCTAATTTCATTTATGTCCCGCTTTGGGCACTTCGTAACCGAAATTAGTATGCCTACTTTCGCTGCACTTTTTTCTGTGTTAAATTTGCTTTTATGAGTATACTCAGATTCCATAAAACTTTCTATGCAACAAATAATATCTGAAAACCAAAGAATGACATCCCTGGCTCGTTTCATAGCCTAATGCAGCGGTTCTCAAATGAGGGTCTGCAGACTCTTTGGGGTCCGCAAAGGCATTCAGGGGTCTGCAAAGCCCTGCCTCATCATTCAAGCCTGGCAATAAAAGTTGTCTTTTATCTGATTAAAAAGAAGTGTCCAACTTTCGGGCGAGTTTTCTAGTGTATATCATACCTCAGCAAACCTCACTCATGAGGGCCCTCACTCACCCTCACTCACCCTCATCTTCACAGGTGAGGTGAGGGTGAGTGAGTTTCTGAAACAGGAAAATTCATGAGTGTGAGGGTGAGTGAGGGCCGTGAGGGCTGTGAGGGCGGTGAGGGCCGTGAGGGCTGTGAGGGCGGTGAGGGCGGTGAGGGCCGTGAGGGCGGTGAGGGCCGTGAGGGCGGTGAGGGCCATGAGGGCCGTGAGGGCTTTGAGGGCCGTGAGGGCGGTGAGGGCCGTGAGGGCGGTGAGGGCCGTGAGGGCTGTGAGGGCGGTGAGGTCCGTGAGGGCGGTGAGGGCGGTGAGGGCGGTGAGGGCGGTGAGGGCCGTGAGGGCCGTGAGGGCCGTGAGGGCCGTGAGGGCGGTGAGGGCCGTGAGGGTCGTGAGGGTCGTGAGGGTCGTGAGTGCGTGAGTGCGTGAGTGGTGTGAGGGCGGTGAGTGCGTGAGGGGTGTGAGGGCCATGAGTGCTTGAGGGCAGTGAGTGGCATGAGAGGCGTGAGAGCCGTGAGGGTCGTGAGCGCATGAGGTGTGTGAAGGCCATGAGTGCGTGAGTGCGGTGAGTGCGTGAGGCCCCTTCAGATCGAGCATCTTTCTCAGCAATTTTGGTGTTAATGGCGGGCTGTTCTCTAGTTTTCCTTAGATCGGCATGAATTGCTGAGATCGGGTCCGGCTCGAAATAAGCAAGCAACTCGGAACAATTCGAATGCGTTTGAAGCGGCTGCATCCAATCAGGGACGCAAAATTTTCTTGTGATACCTCGTGCCGGTGATGATGACACCGAAAGACTTGGTTCTGGTTTGAAATCGATCGTTCTTTTTGGAAATAAACTGTTCAAGAAAGGTGCATTAGTATTCTTAACGAGATTTAAATGTATAAAAACACGTTTATAACGCGTAATTGTGTCTAAATAGTGCAAGAAAAATAAAATTTTATGGTGACGATGGCAAATTGCAGCAATTGGTTGCTGCGTGTGATCGCGGGCGGCCCGTGTTGCTGGTGTTGCGACGTAAAGTTTCTGGGCGAATTTGCCCCATCTGAAGCTGGCCTGAGTGGCGCGAGGGCCATCAGTGCGTGAGGGGCGTGAGGGGTGTGAGGGCCGCAAGGGCGGTGAGGCGCGTGAGGGCGGTGAGTGGCGTGAGGGCGGTGAGTGGCGTGAGGGCCGTGAGGGCGGTGAGGGCGGTGAGGGCGGTGAGGGTGGTGAGTGGCGTGAGGGCTATGAGTGTGTGAGGGCCGTGAGGGCGGTGAGGGCGGTGAGGGCCGTGAGGGTGGTGAGGGCCGTGACGGCCGTGAGGGCGGTGAGGACCGTGAGGGCGGTGAGTGGCGTGAGGGCGGTGAGTGCCGTGAGGGCCATGAGGGCCATGAGTGAGTGAGGGGCGTGAGGGCCGTGAGGGCGGTGAGTGCGTGAGGGCCGTGAGGTTCAGTGAGGGTGAGTGAAGGGCTGAAGGTGAGTGTGACTGTGAGGGTGAGGGTGAGTGAGGGGCTGAAGGTGAGTGTAGCTTTGAGGGTGAGGGTGAGTGAGGGGCTTAGGTGAGTGTGGCTGTGAGGGTGAGGGTGAGTGAGGGCGACCTAAAATGCCGACCTCTGGTGTATATGTCAATGAGAGAAGTCTGCTTCACACTAGCCCTTAGTAATATCCACTTAATAAATCTTTATCGTAATTAATCTATAACTTGCTCTTCCCCACACCACGAACGGGGTCCTCCATCATCTCCGCCGATCATCAAGGGGTTTGCGAATCACCACTGGTTGAGAACCCCTGGCCTAATGGCTAGCCTGCCTGGCTAGTATTCTATGGTCTCACAAATATTTAGGTGCAATATTGCGTGCCTTAGAGAAGTTCTCTCAATTTTTCGTATGTTATTTTTGTTGTACTTTGTAGAGGTTGTTGTCGCCACTCGACAGTTTTGAGAAGTACTTTAAGTATATTGTACTTAAGATATACTACTTCAAGAAGGTTTAGAAATTTGCAGTTTACTTGAAGTACATTATCTGAGTATGTACTTGTGCTTTACCTAAAGAATTTTTTTCTGGTACTTTCCGAGAAAAGTACAACCCCCGACTTCAAAATACGTTTCCCAAATTTGATCTCGGTGAAATACAGCTCTTTCAAGAAACATGCGCTTGTGTCCTTGGCTTTCCCAGTATTATAAGCAACTTCTAAGGTTGAATCAAAAAGCTCACAAACCTCTAAAAAAACAAAACAAAAGACATTTTTGTATTATTATGTGAAAATGCGTTATTGTCTTTCGAGACGTCATCCGGCCATTTTTGTGAGTAAATTAATGGTGGCTATAAGGCCAATAGAGTTAAGTGCCTTATAAATAGGGTCCCTTGTTATTTCTCGTAAAAGCCGGAGGTGGTTTTTCAGAGTTAATTTTTCACTGCAAATTCGGGGTTTATCATAGTTTACGTTCGTTTTTACTGCATTCGAGTTTTTGAAAATTCAATGTAAAATATATTTCTGCAGCTGCGTTTGACGTTTTGCATGGCGATGAAACTTTAAAATAGCCAAGCTCCTGGACGTAGTCATTGGGAAGCATAAATGCTTTAGCTAGATATGAACCTTCATGTTTCATAAAAGGAATCCTATTAAATATACAGGTTCACATCCTTCACTCTTATAAGAACACAAAAAGTTGGGACGCACACGAGCTGGTTTAGGACAAACTTTTGAGATGAGAAAAGATGATGGATAACACAACACAGTGTCTCAAACAAAGCCCTGAGCTGTGTTTGAGACGCTGCGTGTTCTGTTGCCCTTCGTCTTTTCCCCAGTCTCAAAAGTTTGTCTTAAAAAAAAAAAAGCTTTTTTTTTTTTCTTTTTAATTTAAGAAGCACAAGAGTATGGTCCAAACTGGAAGCCAGAACAGTGCTTTTATCGCCACCCAGAAGTGCAGTGACCCATTGTACCGCACAATGTACTGACTCCCTCTCGTCAATGGTCCTAGACTAAAAGAAAGAAAACAGCTGATGGGGCCTGTTTTCAGGGCTACTAACCATGTGCACTCACAAGCTTTATTTGCAAAATATAGCCATTTTTGCCCTTTTTTTTTCCGCCATCATGACCTCGAAATTCCGAGTTTTCTGCATAAATTTGAATTGACGAGAATGTTATCGGCGAGTATTTTCACGAGTTTTTCGGATTCATCCGAAAACACGGGAATCTTATTAATGTAAGTTGATTGTGTTGAATGGTCCATCGGCGAGAATAAAGCAATTACTATGTGGCCAGTTGACTTTATCCCATATCTGCCGCTATTTCCGAAAATAACTAATGCATTACCCTTAAGGCAATGCATACCAGTTAGAAAAAAGAAAAAATCTCTATAGGGAAATGAAAGGACATCTTAAAAGTTTATGTCAAAAAGTACTTGTACTTTACTTTGAAAGTACATTGTATTTATAGTACTGTGCTTCAAGTACATTGCACCCAGTGTACTTAATACTTTACTTGAAGTATATAAGCTCTCATTTACTTTGTACTTTACTTCTAAGTAGTTTCTAGATCTACTCTACAAAAAACTGGCACTTAAGAATGTGAGATTTAAACTCAAAATTTATTTTAAATCACAATCGCAACCTTCGAGTGTCAACTGAGGGAACTTGAAGAGATTGCGCACCTGCACTGCGCACACATAAACATACGACAACTCGCCCAAGCATCCATCCTCTCAAAATAGATAAGAAAGCATGCTCCTCGCTCCTGCAGCATTTGTCTCGCTCACTCTTTACGTTGAAACAAATTGTTGGCGAGGGGCTGATGGAACACATGTCAGAATAAGCGTTGTACTTAACACTTTCGGATGGCACTTAAAGGCAAAGCTGGAGTGCCAAGGATGACACCCTAGACACGGCCATTTATTATGCGAAGATTAAATGAAGTTGAATGTCTGTTCAATCTTTTCACATAACTACCATGACATTTTGTCGTTCGTTCTGCCGTAAGATGTCGAATGGTTGTTACAGACAGTCCAAAGAATGTGATATTTAAAGACTGTTCATAAAATGCAGACGCAATATTTCGCCGTAATACTTGGGAATGAATGTCTTTGTGGTTTAATGAATATAAGAAAATTAAAATCCGACAGATACACTTTCTTTTAATTACCCCTTTAAAGACGTGATGCAACAAACTATTTTACTCAGAAAAAATGTGAACACTAAAAGGGAAATTTAAAACCAATACAGAGAACCTTATTAAGATCATTAGACAAACTGACAAAATTATGATTTAGCTGCAACTAAAAAAATTAAGTAATTTAAATCACAATTTTGTTCTTGCTAATGTAAAAGCACTGCAAGTGAATCAGGGTTGACTTGCTTACCGAGACCTTAATGTTTGGCTTCTATGAAAGAAGAGCCTAAATGAGAATGAAAATATGAGATGATCTTAATATCAAAATCGTGGCTTTGAGTGGGCCAGTCTAGAAACCCGTCTCAATTTTGACCCAAGCACTCACCGCCAGTTTAAGAAGTCGTTCCAACATGGCCGGGAAGTTCATCTCCTGTGGCAGAAAGAATAGCGGCTCACGTCAGTGTTGTGCACATAGCTCAAGAGTAAAAGGCTAATTCCTGTTACAGGTTCCACAAGTTAAAAAAAAAAAAGAACCTGCTTCTGTTACAGTCCCATAAGCATAACATATGGCTCCACTTAGGTTACACTTGTGGGCTATGGCAAACGTTGTGCCAGGATCACCTCTAAACAAAAAAAAGCCCCAAAAAGAGCAGGGTGTGTTATGTTATGAGGATGGTTACCAACCTTACAAACAGTTGTAACCAAATTTCAATTTTTATTTTACACCCAGAGTACACAGGGGAAAAAACTGCAATAATGCAGGTTGACAGGGCGCTCTAGAGTTGTCAGCTTGGTGGGCCAAAAGTCATAAAAATACTTCAACGGGAATTAAGAAGATGCACACGACAAAGAATCCACGCAGAGAAAAAAAATTAGTACAAGGTAGAGTATAGAAAATGAATGGTGTTTACCTCATTGCGAAATTCCCTCGCAAGTTCAATTAGGGATTTTCTTAATCTACACTAGAGCGATTCAGTACTACAACAGAAAACTTCAATATCACAAGGACTTAATTTTCACGAATTAAAATAAATTGTAAGAACTGTAGGAGACAATAGCACAAATACAGGGTATGACCAAGATAATCGCACAAATGCAGTATGTGACTGATACAGGAGGTTCATACAGCAGTTCATCCCGGCTGTGAAACCTGGTTCTCGCAAAACATTCCAAAAAGTGGCACTTGCACAAATTTATTAACTCAGGCCCATGCACCCTGTACAGCCAGCTTAACAGAATATGGAAGGCCGTTCAGTGATGTGATTGGTCAGAGTCACTTCGGAGCACCTTTGGGAGCAGCAAAAACTACTTCTGGAGCATAAGCACATATTACATTTTTATTCATGCCAGTGCAAATACCATGTTAGCATTTGTGTGTTTATGTCTATTTTTCCTTCCTGCTTCTGCACAACCTTTTGATAGCATCAATGGCACGGCAGGGTTGGCTCCCTAGCTACAACTTTAATTGCAAATAAAAGCACAAGGCCCAGTAACAAGATGCTAATTGATGGAGGGCAGTACAAACTGCTGTGCATGGTTATTTTAGGTGCGAAATCAAACGTAAACCAAAGTCCACTGAAATGATGATATATCAAAATAACTTCAACCAGCTAAATTGATGTTTTCTTTTAGTTCTAAAGGTAGCAATAAAACTGCATTTCTTAATTTGTGCAAACTACAAAGCTTTTGACTTCTTGAAAACAAAAATGGATGTCTAAACAAAACATGCTAAAAAAAATGCCAGCGAATTTCTTTAAATTATTCACAGGCTTGCATTTACTGTTACAGCTAATTCAGTTGTAATTTTCTGTATTCACTGTCCATCGAATGGATGGAACATACATAAGGGTAATAACTAAAGACAGTAAACGTAAAGATTAAACATATAGAGCACCTCGTATGAGTTGCTTTGCAATACTCAAGTATCCTTAATGAACCTTGAATGTGAAAAAAAATATTGTCAGAACATCGCAGTATATCCTACATGCCAGCCGCAGTTTTTTCTGGAAACCGTGGCAACGTCCTGCTTTGGGAGAGTATTTCCCCCTCAGCACGTGGTGCACTGCGGCAAAGCATGACACGTAAAATTGCGACGCCTGCAATGCGGTTGTTGCTTCACTGCAGCAAGCAGTGACAAGTGCACGCAACAATGCTAGCTATGCGGAGAGCAAGTCGTCTGCTTGTTGTGCAGCAGTTGCGGTGACGTCAGAAAGACGCCAAGCTTCAATTGGCTCTGATTGAAGGATAGTGGGTAGACCTGTATGTAACCTGCTTCGAGGTCTACTCACTATCCTTTAGTCAAAGCCAATCAGAGCTCGGCATTCTGACGTCACCACAACCCCTGCATAAGAAGCAGACGAACTTGTGCTCCGCATTTAGTCAGAGCAGACACGAGCACGAAATGTACCGCGAAACTCCTGGCTATACTGTGACTGTTTGAGATCAAATAGAATATGATGTTATTAAGCAATAGTGAAAAGTTTTGGAAATTCGCACTGGCCTACCATAACAATCCGGCCATGTAACTGGGCCGGATTATTATATTCTTAATATTAATAAAGCGTTTCCGCTCAACGTTGACGCAAATTTCTCACATTTCGGCAAAATGTAGCAGGACGTAGCAGAGTAAGTGCTTTGGCACAGTTTGACGCAAATGGTGCGGCAATAATATCGCTGCCTTTCTACTTCCACCGACGCAAAACCTAACGGTGACGCTCTTAAAACAATCCCGGGAATACCGCTCCACAAAATGCCGCGGGAAGGCGTGCAGAGGGCGACCGCTCACCTGGAAAGGCTTCAGGGAATTCTGCATGATGGGCACGATCCACTGCTGCGCGAGGGCGAGGATCAACTGGAACAGCAGCAGCTGTAGGCAACAGCGACGGCTCAGGAAAGAAACCAACCCGATCTACAACTAATTGCGTCCACAAAATCCGAACAGTTAACTTCCTTTCGCAATCCTAGATTCCATTCTTTAGAATTGCAAGAAACATAAAAAACCAACACTGACGAATTTCCTAAATTTCATAGCACCTTTACATGCTCCGCTCACCACGAAGTTGCTGAGGTAGTGCGAGTCAAGCGCTCGCCGCTTGCACAGAAAGCGCGTTACAGACAGGACGAATATTCGCTCTCGGGTTGGCGTCATCTTCTTAGATTCCGCAAAGACCTTTGATGAGGTCTTTCACGACAAAATACTGCTCAAACTGCACACGACACTTAAATCCGACTTGTTATTAAAACGGTTCGAGAGCTACCCCAGAGAAAGAGAGCAGTTTGTCTCTTCCAACAATACTTCTTCCACAACATTGCCTCTCATTTCAGGTGTACCCCAGGGTAGAGATCTGCGAAGGCTCGGGTTTGCCTGAAAGCCCGAGGCCGACACGACAGTCGGGTCAGGTTCGGGCCAATGTACAGGGACACCGTTTGTCGGGTTCAGACCAATTTATCCCGAACTGCGTGGGGCTCGGGTCGCTACTTGACATTCTGATCCTTCTATCCATGCCATCGGCCATCAAAACCAAGACAACAGAAGAACAAAACGAAAGAATGCGAGGACACTTCTGGCTACTCCGCAGTAAAGCCGTTTCACGTGGCCCAATCCCGCTTGCGATTTTCGCGATTTTTGGTTGCGATGTTTGTTGCTCGAGAGAAGGCAAATGAATAAAAGCTGCGGAGAGTGACTTATGTGCACGCATACTGTGTCCACAAGCTCTTTGCCGCGTGAGAATGAAAACTGCAAGCAGAATCGCACCACGTGAAACGGGTTCAATGCTGAAAATATGTGTGCAACTTTCAACTGCCATTTTCTCCAAATGGATTTTTCCACTGGTATTGGCACTTACCCCAGCGATATCTCGGGAACAGTTAAATAAGTTTGCATGCATTTTTTTATTCTGTTCCTAAATAACTTTGTGAGGGCATGACAAGTTTCCTTTTTTAGCTCTGATAAACTAAGATATGACCAGCAAAATAAAATTCAATTTGTCATGACCTGGTGTGCCTATCCAGAAAGGCTTATAGTAAATTTTACATTCCCACTATGTTCTGCTATCTCTCCAGGCCTGGGATAAAGGAAGCAAGTGAACCATCCTTAAACAAATGTGCAACTAAAGACTTTAACCCATAGGCACAGCTTTATGAAACATAGCAGTTACCCTTATATATGTGCTATGAATGTACCTTGAAAATTTCACACAAATAGCACTGAAAATAAAAACGTTCAAGCTCAATGCCAGCTTCTCCCTTAACGTAATTCCCACAGATTTTCCATCTCCCCACACTGCGGATCCATCACTTCCGCCGATCCACAAGCGGTTCCTGAAACATCATTGTAGTAAAATTTTCAAAATTAAACTGTGGCTGTTAAGCGAGAGTATACGTTAGGCCGGGATGCCCCTACAACCTGCGTTCAACATCCGTGGTAACTTTCTTCTCTTTATTTTTTTTTTTAATTCGAGATTGAAGAAAGAACATTTGCACACAGCAAGGTTTGTAAATCCACTCAATTTCAATTAGGTAGAGCTACACATCTTCATCAATTTCATTTTGCGTCCCATCCGTCATTTACTCCCTATCCCAAGGCATTGGACATTCTGAGGTCAGAGTCCATAAATATAATCAGACTAAAATTAGCCTGTAGATGGACAGGTGGAAGCTTGGGAATAACCTTCACGAGTTTAGCTGGGTTTTCATTTAAGCATGGTGCAACAGTAGCGAAAGGCTTGACGAAACTGTTTGATTAGAAAATATTTGAACACAACCACTATTTGCTTTGAATTCGCTTCAAACTCAAAATCCACTATTTGCACATGACTAAAAACATCACAAAAAAAGCCACTAGTAAGTTACAGTATTTGAAACAACGAATGTTGTCTACAGAACCATTTCTAAACCAGCCTTTAACATTTGAGTAAATATGTTAGTGCTTTTTTTGTTTTGGTTTTGTTGCTCATACATGGCTGCCACTCATTGTCTTTGGAAAATGCTGCACCATGCTCGTGAGATCCAGTGTTCATCGCAATGCATGGTAGGCGACTTCATTTTTTGCCTAGGCTTTTACTGCAATTAAGCTGATTTTCATATTATGCCCTTCCTATTGTAATCTGGCCAAGGAATTATAGTATCTGTCAATAAATAAATGAATAGGTAAATGCGACAAGCTGGCAACTTACGTCTGCCTCACAATATGCAGACATACTCCCATATAGCTCGATCCGGAATATACGTTGACCCGTATACTGGAGCCTTTGCAGAAAATATAAAAAAAATATTCAAACATAGATTTCGTTTTCAAGGAAGTGGAGTGGAGGGAGACTTCCCAGTCGCTGCCCCAACTGAAGCTTGCTGGAAGTGCACTGCCACGTCCAGCTTTATCCTTCCCATTAGCTAGAAAATCCCCATGAAAAACAGTGCAAAAAACACAAGGACAAAGAAAAAATAAGCCCAAGGTACACCTAAGCACTTCTTATGAGCTGTGAATACGAATGCATGCAAGCCACTCGTCCGCTCCCTTTTTCGTCTGCTGCGTACTTTACGTCGTCGGTCAGTGCGTGCTCCCCTGGGTGCGCTGACCTTGGACGCTCCATGTTAACGCCGCACCGCTCCGTGTTAGCACCATGGGGTGAGTGGTCGTGGAAACTGACGAGCGCAGCGGCCAATGGGAGCCCCGTCAACGCGCGCCAGTCAATGGAATTGAAGGCAAGATTCATCAGCTTTACTTCGCTCCTTTGGGACCGGGGAAACTAGGTGCCGTTTTCGCGCTTCAAACTGATGACGTCAGCTCGTTCCATGGGACAGCTGACGCTTCCGCATTAAAACACACAGAACAAGGCGCTGTATGTTCTTTCCTCTGTGCACTTCTGTTTTTCAACATGAACATACACCAATTACCAGCCCAACCATCCATTCGAGAAAATCACTCTCACTGCAGGTCGACCTTCCTTGGTTACAACCATAGAATGATACCATTTCTAAAAAGAAAAAACACACCACAACCGTCGGATAACATTAAAAAAATAAATGGGGAAGCTCAGTGGCCTCCTCCGTCTCAGCAACGACAAGATGTCTCAAATTGTTACACTACAGTCAATGCATTCTTTTACCACTACTGTTAGAACTTAAAATACCATTTTAGCTTGCATCTCAGTCTCGCTCCTTCCCGCGCACAATTCCCAGTCTCCAAAAAATAAGTATGAAAAGCAGCGGCAACGCACCGACTCGATGAACCTCCGGAAGAGAAAGCGCTTGCGGATCCTCGATGAGCGAGGAAAGTTGAGCTCGTAGCAGAGCGTTGGCACAAACATGAAGTAATAGATGTCTGAAACAAGCAGCACCAGGAAGCAAGATTAAAGGCCTGCCTCTAACCACTTCCATGAGCCCAGCCCATAAGTTCGTGCATTTCTCTAAAAGCACATGCCTGATTATAGGCAACAAGCAGTATCTTAAAGGAGCTGTGCAACGATGGCTCTGCCACAAGAATCTGTAGCTTGTCACTTTTTTTTTTTCTTTATCTTAGCCCAAGTTGGAGATAATGCATTGCCTTCCCCCCGAATACACTAATTCTGTTGTTTAATCGCAGAACAAAAGGAAAGGCCTATTTCCCGACCTGTGCATGGCAGCTAAGGGAACCATCTAGTGACATTCTTAGATGCGTTGTGGTCAAGTAGTGAGTTGCACAAATAAAAACTCAGCTAAAAGCTAGTAGGTTCTATGAATTTGTTGTCTAAACGTGAACAAACGCGTCAAACGCCCTGTATCGTCGCCAAAATTCTATCGAATGAAGTTTCTATAGCGTCATCTAGCCAAAGTCGAGAAAGCCATCACCTCTCCACTGAGTTCATGATGAATAGACAAAACGTTTGCCCTAGATTTCTAGCTCATCTGAGATCAGCTGCCCGCTGTGAACCCCCAGCAATGCCTACTGGTTGTGGTATTCTGACGTTGTCCATCCGGAGGCTGAAAGGTATTCTGAATCGAGGTAAACACCTATGGACTGACCAACCGAAAATGCTTATTCTAACCTACGGAGAACTTGCGTGTGCTGGCGGGAAGAATTCTCGCTGCAGCACTGCACTTGCTAGGGCCGCTAAAGACAGAGCACAACCAGAAGCTCTCCAGCCTTCTCGAGCATGTCACTGTGCACACAACTTAAAAACAATAAAAAAGTTGTGAAAGAAAACATAAACTACCTTATGTGAGGAAATATAATATTCTGGTCTTCATTCTTGAAGCAACAGAGACTAATTCCAACAAGTATTAGGCTAATGTCCGAAAATCATTGCACAGCCCCTTCATAGTGCCAAAACATACCATAAACCTTCTACCAAAACAAACTTTAATGCATGATGCCCCCTAAAAATACAAAAGTTTACAGCATTTTGTTCATAAAAAACTAAACTGTGCACCGCCGAACGTTCAGTCTCCACCCCAATGTAGCGCTAGTTGTCCAAACCAGATGCCAAGGTTTCAGAAGTAACCATTATTTGAATCAAGAAAGTAATAAACAATATTCAAGACTTTTCAACAGTAAAACGAAGGCCGGCAAAGCCCATGCAGACGTTGGACTGAATGAGGCAAACTATCGAAAACAGGCCCCATTTTCCCATTAAAACTTAAGAAAATCCCTTTTGAATAAGATAACGGATACAGTCGAACCCATTTATAGTGAACCCGAATACACCAAATTGCTGTCTACCGTAAAATACCGAGCATGGGCCCCATGTCACGTTAAGGGCCCACCCCCTATTTTTGAATGATTTCAAAAACAAACAGAGGACACATCAACCGCCCACCCCCAAATTTGAGGGGAATTTAAAAAAAAAAATATGCGAAGGACATGGCAAGCGCCCAGTCGCCGCGGACGGCCGCTATCTCCTGAAGTTGAAGCGACCAGCACAAGTTATGAGTCACGACGGCGCGGGCGAAGGGCGCCGCGGGAATCGGGCGAGGCTCCGGTGCAACACGGCAGCACTCCGGTGCCGCGCGAATCGGGTTCAAATGGCATAAATAAGAAAAGATACAGGCGAGCTCGTGTACAAAGGAAAAGAGGCAAAGGCACCTTGGCAAGAGTGAAGCAGTGCAGATACATTACGTTGGAAAGGAGGATCTAGCGAATGGAAAGCCGCACAGAGCTTAGCGCGTGTGCTGCACACGTGCCGTGTGCCCGTGTGCCTCTGCCCCTCCGCTTCCGCTTGTTGTTCGGTGGTTCGGATTGTTCCGTGTTCATCGCGCTGCATTGCTTGCGTTTGCTCAGTTCGCTTGTTTGGACGATGCACTCGTATACGGTCGCTAGGAAAGTCGAAATTGTTGAACGGCATAGGCGCCACGGAAAGAAGGAAAGCTGGACATCGCATGAATTCAAGATTGACCGTAAAAGAGTGCGCGACGCAGAGAAACCTAATGTTTTGTTCCGACTCAAAAGAGTTTTTTGACAGCTTCACTGACGAAGACTAGAGTTCATTAGAGCTTCCTTTTTTTTCATTTCTCTCAATAAACTGTTCCTATCCATGCTTCTGCAAGGTTTCTCTGCTTTTATACGTTCGCACGCTCAAGGAATGACGGCCCTTTTCCAAGTGCATCAAATGGCCGCCATTTTTAATTTGGCGGTCGGGCCGAGCAAGGGCCCACCCGACTATGCGATCCTTCTGCGTTTTTGCTCTGGGACCTTACAAGCGCCCATCCCCGAGTTTTCCGCGATTATCTCATAATTTTGAGTGGGCGCTTGCTCGGTATTTTACGGTATATTGAACACTCAAATATTAGAACAAGATTGCGTGTAAACAAGTACCTTTATAACGAAAAACCCATTGGCTATTTCGAACTAAAAAAAACGTGACCTTCGAAAACGTGCGAGCACCCATCCCGTATAAAAAGAAAATTGCAAATACACGAGTGCCCCTTAAAAGAGAAAGGAAAAAGGAATGTACAAAGTTAAAGCCTCCTAAACAGCAAACAAAAGGAGTGAAAGGAGCAGAAAAGACAAAGAGAAACAAATACAAAAACGAAAAAAGAATAAAAAAAAAAAGTCAAGGTCAGGACACATGGTTCAAAGCAGTCTCCATTGATTGTTTTACTAACTAAAAAGTTAATTATTGAAAACTAATTGAAAAAAATTGAAAACAAAAAACTGATTGTCTTTAGACTAGTCTTTACAATAACGTCCTCCTCTCACAGAGGCAGCCTCATGATCACTGCCAACATTACTAAAAGCTGTCCATCAAAAGTGTGCCCGAGAAAAAAAAAAGAAAAAGCAGGACAAGAAACAGGGAGACCAGGTAAGCTGCTGTGCAAGGGCATCACAAATGCAGTTCCTTACCGTAGAGGTTGAGGTTGTCAGGGTACGAGACGGTCTGGGTAGTGCAGCGACCATTGTCCACAGGCTGTAAAAGCGACTCTGGTGGAGAAAAATACCTGCGTGTCTAGCTAGGGACACTCGGAAAGAGGGGCAGACAGGTACGTGAGAAGCTTCACTGAGTGCACACCAGACATATCAGACAATAACAATGTATCGCACAGTGAAAAGGTTTACGACATATTGGTCACAGCTAAGGTACCGTAAAATACCAAATAAGCGCTCACTAAAATTTGAAGATAATCGCGAAAAAATAGGGGATGGGCGCATGTGAGGTCATTAATTTTACATATCTATGTACTGTGCATATTTTTTAAGATATTTCAATTTTCGGGGTTGGGCGCTTAGTGTGGAATAGGCGGATGTACGGTATTCTACGGTAGTTATTTAGCATAGTGCTTCGATATTCAGGTAATTAACTAGTTTTCAATAATTAGTTTATTAGTTAGAGTAACTAGTTTTCAATAAAAAAAACTTTTTGGTTAGTAAAACAAAAGATACAATTTCACTTACACCACTAAATAAGTCACTTTTAGAAAGACAAAGCATGTGGAGCTGTTTTAATGCCTCCCAAAAAAGGAATCAATGTCCAACAATCCTACTGAATAATGCCCCAGAATAAGAAAGGTAGCGCCATCTTCTCCCTCCTCCTCTGACGCGCACACCTTTTATCTTTATGTTTTGCTTTTCTTACACCCGCGCATCGACTGTAGTGCCGCCTGGATCGGGCCAAGATAGCAGACGGCCTTCCTATACTTGAGTCAGAGCGCAGTCAAAGGCTGAAAGACACGCGCAAATACATACATATAGTCTAAAAGCACACGGTCACGGTCTACCAGCCTGTAGGAAGGGCTCAAAGAAAGACGATGAAAGCCGTGACGTCGCACAGTCGGCGTTATTCGATTGGCGGCATGAGCTCATAGCATGCACTGCACTCCGACAGACTAGGCATTCCTTCTCCCTCCTCCTCTGACGTACATACCTTTTACAGCGGAGCTGTTAAGGGCTAGGTTCCCCACGATCGTGTCCGTGTATGTCGACACAAACCTACCTCGACAGCTGCCGCCATCTATAAGCGACGGCGGCAAGCACACAACCAGTATGGTTTCCGCCGTCGCTCGTAGATGGCGGCAACCTTTCCAGCTATAATAGAAGAATGGATAGTTGGGTGCGTTGGTGGAAATTTATCGTAGGAAACAGTGCGAAAAACAGACGGCGACGAAGAAGCACACAGTGTATCGAGTACAGTTCCGCTGGTCTCCCTTCTTCACGAGAGTGGAAAGGCTGAACGATTTTATCTTCATGTCTTGCCTTTTTACACTCGCGCATCGACTGTAGTGCCGCCTGGATCGGGCCAAGATAGCAGGCAGCATTCTTCAAAGGATGGCGCTACTTTTCCGTATAAAGGGGCTTTACTACTAACTGTCTACTAGCGCTACCTACCCTGCTGAGTTAAGTACAGTCAGAAAGACGGGACTGGGTTCTTTATTGGTTATTAAAATTCAGCGTGTTGCAAACTGTCATCCTCGGGCTGCCAAGAACATAGCTATCTCAGTGATGTGATTGGCCTAAGCCGTTTTGGAGCACCTTTCGGAGCAGCCAAAACACTGTTTTGGAGCACCAAAAGTGGCTTTCGGAGCAGATATTCTTAGAACAGGGATGGGCAAAATACATTGAAATATGTATTGAAATACAAATACAAAATACTTCGTCAAAAATGTATTTAATTACAAATCTAATTTCATTTCCAAAAAAGCATTTAAGTACAAGATACAAATACAACCAAATGTATTTGGTCTCCTCCAAATACTTTTCCAAATACATTCATTCCTCAAAATTCGCGTCAGCGACTTCAGGGCACCTCCAACAGGTTTCTGAGTATCTCATTTTAACTTTGCATAGCACACTTGGGAGCTAGTGTGCGAGGCTCTAGTAACGTAACAGAAATATAATCACAAAAAAAATGTAATTAGCTTGGACGTAATAGGTGAAAAAAGTACAGAGCTTCAAGCAGCTTTTTTTGTCGACTACATTTTGGTATAGACCAACAAAGAACCGAGACGACCAAGACGCGCAGCACTAGCTAGAGAATTTTTTATTGTTGCAACTCGCACCAGTTACGAAAATCTGGACGACCCGCGCATTTAGAATGTTCCAGGCAAAAATATGGATGGAAATCAGGCTGGAAAGCATCACGACTTGTCATAGGCACTTATTTAGCCAGTCGGACTGTGAACGTCGATCTCGTCACTATTCTTGCCCTAGACTAGCACCGTAATCACAAAGTCACTAAACGCTTGTGCTTGATTGAGACACTGCATTCGGTGCAGAACGTAGTTTTCTTCCTACTCTGGACAGTGCCTTTAAAATAAAGCCGGAGGAGAAAAAGAAAAAAGCCCCATGGCCGAATAAAGGATGGAGACTATATCTTACAATTACATGCATAAAAACAAGAATTGTAACTTTGGCAACAACATTTATGTAATAGAGGCAAGTGCGACATTAAAGAGGACACCTTCTCAGTACAGTGTAATTTTCTTGGTTTGTTATTGGAGTTGAGATGAAGAAACAGCAGCTTTGGACACGTCTTAGGATGAGCAAAATGAGTCGTGACAATAAATTTGAGGGATGTATTTTTGCCCACAAAATTGTATTTAATTACAATTGTGTTTGAAACACCCACGTTTTAGTATTTAAATACACACGTCAAATACATTACCCAATTTGTAATTAAATACAGATTCAAAATACACAAAGTATTTGAAATACGTATTTCAAATACTTGTATTTAAAATACTGCTCATCCCTGTCTTAGAAAAATAAAAATATTTGTTCTAGGTGCTGGACAAACAAAGTGCACTTTGCTCGCCGGAGTAAACGAATTATGGTCAAGTTCAATCAACTAGGAGTCATCCAAGATGTAACTGAAATGTCAATGACATGACACATTTTGCAGCGTTTCAGTTAAATTATACATATATATGTACCCACTATAGATAGATAAGAACCAAACTTCAATGTTCAAATTTATTTAAAAAACAAACTTCAAATATTAAAATTTGTTTGAAAATAACCAGCTTAGTAGTAAATATCACAGCATTAGGTTGACTAGTCATATAATATAATAAATGGAAGCAGTCCCCGACTGATGAAACACATAGCTACTGCAATGCAATGCGAAATTGCACACAAGAAAAAGGTGCATTACAACTATAGCGGGTACTTTTTGCTTTTCAAAACTTTCTGCAAAGCTGCCGCAAGCTTCGGTTTGGCTTAGGTTAGTAACGAATGTCCACTTTCAATGTCTCCAAAGAGACATTGAGACATCTTACAAGTGAACAGTGCTGTAGGCGTTGCCGAGAAATTCTAAAAAACCGCTTGCCACCGTTTTACTGATTCCCGATGTGCCAGATTTTCGTCAAAAATAAACATCAAACCGTGCACTGCAAGCGTCCTGGCCGGTGCCTCTGTCATGCAATCATGTTCGCAAGCACGTCAGGGCAACTTCGGCAGGCTTGCAGCTGCACGTGCTTCGTCGCGCGAGTGGAGACGGCTGTTCGATCGAAACCGAAACCATGCCACTCCGTTCCGTCACCAACTGTTCTCCATAAATGTATGTAAAATGTAACTGTCCCGCATGCGATAAAACACAGTTCAGCGGCGCGTGCTCGCAAGGCCGGCAGGTGAGGTACAAGCTAAACATACAGAAAAAAAGAACCTGAGCACATCGATGCAGGACATCACAAGTCAGGGTCAAAACGTTCTTGGAGCACTTTGTACAACAACTGAACTCGAGACAAACAAGCGCGCTGTGTGGGTTCAGCGTGCAGACATTGCCTTCTTTGCTTTAGCTCACTTCTCTTCACCAACTTCCTTGCGCGACAGATTTTTCATGTACCGGGGTCCCTCTCGAAAGAAAGCCAACCAAGAGAAACCTAGGTAATCAATACTTCCACAGAGCAGTCTTCGAGTTAAAAAGGGATCTTTGTAGTAGCGCATGTTTTAAACAAGACCGGGAATGTTGATGAACATGCGGCGGTCCTTATGTTTCAGTTTAGGAAGCTCCATATCTGTAGCGACATGCAGACTGCAGGCAGGACCAAATATAGTTTTCCCACGGCGACTGCTTTCAGGAGCGAGTGCTTCAGCTCAAAAAGTAAATCCCGCCGCGCAAAAATGTAATTTCGTCTCACAGTGTGACGGGATGGCTGGTACCCAGCACGTTAGCGTCGGGGCGTCCGCACACGCCCATACTTATCGTTAAAAAAACCAAAAAAAAACGCGAGACGAGATTTACGAGACGACGAGAGCGCGGAAAGAAGGCACGGCAAGAAAAACCATGCGAGACCGGATGGACGATTGATGTAACTAAAGCAAGGGTGCAGCCTGCAGGCGAGCTGGTTCAATACTGACATTGGAGTTTTGTGCCTGTCCTACGTCCCTTCTTTTCTCCGCCTCCAGGGTTTCAATGTCACGATTGATGCAGAATACTTTGTGTCAGGTGGCTGCTTACGCCACCTAACTCACGCATACTCCATTACGGTACACAGTTTAGTTTCGGTTTTGAAAGGCGACCATAACTGGTCCTCTGGTGCTAGGCTTGGCGCAGATTACCCATATTTTTGCAAAATGTAGCAGGGTGTAGCAGGGTTAGCCCCTTGGCGCAGTTTGGCACAGCAATCACATCACTGCTATCACAAGGTACTAGATGCATACCTGCCAACCTGTGGACTTTCAAATTCGTAAAACTCCCGACACCGCGGGGGATTAGTCAGAGGCAGGCACTTTTCGGGATGAATGATGGTTTATTCTGTTAGCAATTTTTCTGTTGCCGATTTCGCCTGCTTTAGAAAGTTCTCAGAGTACACTTGTTCGACGCACTCCCCATTCTGATGCTCCTTCACCATGAGGAGATTTTCGAGGATCCTGTTGGAAACTGAGGAGCGGAACTCCGTCCGGGTCCTATTTACAGTGCTGAACAGTTTTTTGCATTCAGCGTTGCTGTGGGGAACTGTCAAGATCCCCAGCATGAGCACTGCACT